AAGTGTGATGAAAATCTTAGAATGCGTATCAACAGGCAACTCATCAAACGCTCTTTCTACAGCACCAATTAGCTCCTCGATCGAACGAGTAGACTTTTGATGTTGTAGACTTTGAATAGAGTTAAAAAATCCTTAATCTAACACGTTGAAGTATGGACTATTTGGTGGTTGATTTACAATCTTGATGCCTCTGCGACGCCTCGAGCTTCCAGCGCCGATGTTGTGACTGTTCGGTGGGGGCTGACATTGTCTTGTTGCACGAAAACCCCTTGTCTCTTGGTACGTAGCGGGATCTTCTCTTGAATAGCAGGAACGACTTTCTTGAGCACTGTTTCGAAGTAGACGTCGCCATTCACGGCAATGGGGGCCGTGAGCATAGTGCCCTTGGGCCGGTTCTTGCTTGTTCGGGCTGCTGAAGAGACCGACACGAAGGGCCACACGCCGATCTTGCCGTCAAACATTTGGCACTTGGAGTAGTCGTACTGCGGGCGGGCAACATCAACAAGGAACATAACCTTCGTGATGAACGAATTGGACTTGACAGAACGCAGCGCCATTCTTCATCTTCGTACAAGTAGAAACGCTTCTTGACCTTTGTCTAGTAGAACCATTTGACGACGGCTCGAGATGCGACATGGCGAACTTGAGCCTTGCTTGGACGTTGGCCTCAGTGAGGTACGGCTTCACGTAACTTGACCGCGCCTTGAGGCTTGCAACCGACTTCATGTGACGAATGATACTTGTCTTTGGTATGTTGCAGTGCCGCGCCAACGAGCGCATTGTCTGTCGCGCATGCTGGGGAACTGATCGGATGGCGGCTTCAATTTCGTCGTTGGTGCGGACGACTTTACGTCCAGAATTGCCTAATCAAGTTTACCTCTTCAATATATTGTACAAAACGATTTAATATGTATTTATAAAGCTTTTACCACTGATTTTTGACCCAATCGCGGCGATAGCGCGTCTGTCGGCCAAGGAGCTGGGTCCTTGCTTCCATGAGCGAGCTGTGGTACGCCAGTGGTAGTCATACAGCTGGGACTGGGCCTTGAAAGCCCCATACGGAAGCTTGCCGCCGACAGAGAGTTCTAAGAGGTTCTCATAGGCTCCGTGCCTCTGGTCGGCCGTGAGGTTCTTTGTGCGTCTGACGCTGTCAGGTAATGGGCTCATGGCAACGCTGGCATTGTGGCAGTGTGTAGAGGGCTCGTGAGATGCGTGTGCGTGTCTTAAGCGAGTGGAAATTCTGAAATGTATGAGTGACAGGTCAAAATGTTTAGCTGCTTTGGCTCCCGCCACTTTGGTGGTCTATACCTTGAGAAGTAAAACGCATTGGTTTGTTCTAAAAACAGCCAATCAAAGTGCATATCTTGCGCTTTTGATTGCACCAATCAGATCGAAAATACAGCCAAATTTAGAATAATCCCGCCAATGGAAAATTCAATATGACAAACATTACGGACCAGAGTACAGTAGTATCGGACTAACACTTCATCTCATTTCCCACAGGCAGGTGACCGAGCGAGACGCATTGGGCATAGTTTGCATGTCCAAAGAGACAGCAATAACGACCAACTCAATGTGTGCATCTAAATATGCATGTAAGTCGG